AAAAAAAAAAAAAAATGCAGAGAGAGCAAAGACAAGCAAGATGGAAGCTGGAAACATTTTTATAACCTAGTCATGGAAATGAACATCCCATCACTTTTGCTTAGTTAGAACCAAGTTACCAGAGACAGGAATTCCACAAAGCAGGGATATCAGAAGGTGAGGATCATTGGGAGCCATCTTAGATGGTACAAACCACATAATTATATCACAAATTAACCTTTTTGGGAATATATTAATATAATAAATTTCTTTTGTAACCCTAGGTAGTTTATCCTATGCATTTAAGAATGGTATTTGGTAAGGGATTCATAGGCTTTACCAAACTTCCAAAAGAGTACATAGCTCTCAAATGTTTTAGTTGAGGTACCTTCAATAACCTGCAGGGAGAATTTGTTTGCAATGATCTCAGTTTAGAAACGAGAGGTCATAGCTTTAGTCTACCCCATATTCATCTAGATAGATGCTTTATACTAGTTCTTATTACCCAATGCTATGAAAAAAGCAGGGTACATTTTAAAACAAATTTGCTACAGGGCAACCATAAACTGTTCTCAGTCCTACCTACTTGCGTTAGCATGTGCATGTGTGCAGTACAGAGAGAAGGGTGCATAGGTCTCTGTTAAGCTTGTTTGCTCACAATTAAACCTTTTATGTTTGTATGTTACAACTATTATTTGAGCCTCAAAATGATTCATATAAGCAGAGCTGATCTCCCCAAGAATATACTATTTACCAAATAAGTGCTTTCCCCACTATTAAGCTATGTAGGTTTTTTGTTTTTTGGAGACAGAGTCTCAGTTTATCGCCCTTGGTAGACTGCTTTGGTGTCATAACTCACAGCAACCTCAAACTCTTGGGCTAAAGCGATCCTCTTACCTCAGCCTCCCCAGTAGCTGGGACGATAGGTGCCCACCACAACAGTGAGCTGTTTTTATAGACAGGGTCTTGCTTTTGCTCAGGCTGGTCTGGAAGTCCTGAGTTCAAGCAATCCACCCATCTCAACCTCTCAGAGTGCTAGGATTACAGGCCCGAACCACTGCACCCAGCCCAAAGCTATGTATAAGGCACAGTGTAAGAAAAGAGAGGGAAATTATGCCATGATTTTTTCCCCTAAGTCTTCTGCACGTGTGATACCTGCTCTTAGCAAACATAAAGATAATGGTGTTTCTAATTGATATTTTCTGTAAACACAGAACCAGCTTCATATGTTGTCTCTTTAATCTAAAAGCTTAGGATATTTTATAAAACCTTTAATATTCAGATTGAGGATATATTTGTCAATAAGAATTGGGAGTGAGTCTCTTATTTGACTTGCTCAAAGGCCAATCTGATGTCCAAATGTAAATTGCATCATCTTCCCAAAGCTATCCTGAGTCAGGATAGCTGTAGGAGCTATCCTCCTACAGGGAGTTGATTTTTCATGTAATTCTCAGATCCTACTGATAAAGATGCCCAGTATTGTTAGTTATTTTAAATTTTCCAAGAAACCCCAAACATGTTTTGCATATACGCTGCCAAATTTTTTGTGGCCCTTCCAAATCCTAGTTCCTCTCAAGTCTCTAGAGTCCAGTCATGCCTAGAGCAATGGAGTGAAGGAACTTGGTGGCTTCTGGTTCCTATAGCTACTGAGGAAGCAACTTGGTTAGCTCATCTACCTGTGTTGACCATAGCTTCCTAATCTGCAATATTTGTGGATTCATGATTATCTCTAGGTCCCTTTCCATTTCTAACATTCTTTTCATTGCATTGTGAAGTAGTGAGAAAAACTCTGATGACGTTTAGGATGTGTGACTACTGTCGCAACACACTGGGCCACTCTCAAGAACCAGTTTGGGGTTAAAAAAAAAAAAAAAAGCAGTGAGGTAAGGTTGGTGAGAGAGGGAAGTGAGGGGCATTCCAGCCAACTCCCTCAGAACCAGTCAGGTCTTCACCAGGCGGTGGTGGGTGGGGCCGGGGCCCGCGTTGACGACAGAAGGTTACTTCCGGCTGTGGTGTGTATGACGTCAGGGCGAGTCGGTCTGGCCCAGCCACCAGCAGCCGAGGAGGGAGGGCTCGCGAGAGTTCAGGGAGGCCGCCCCGAGATTCCGGCGCGGCCTCGGGACCCACCTCCCGGGGGCGGGGCGAGGGCGGAGCGGGGAGAAGGGAGCGGACGGGCGCCAGGCCGGCTGCGGTCCGTGCGGAGGCTGAGCCGGCCGCGGGCGCGACCGGAGGCAGGTGAGTGCGCGGATGCGGCGCTCTGGTAGGGGGCTCGGGCTCGCCGCCCCAGCCCCAACTCTGCGAGCAGAAGCTGGAGGAAATGTTAGGTGTCTTTGGGTGTACAGGGGAAGGTAGGCTAATTTGGGGGCTAGAAATGTCTCTGGTGAAGCTGCGGCGACGGCCTTGGCCCTCTTATTCCCCGGGGTGCTACTGGCCCCGTGTGTCCGGAGAGGTAGCTTGGAGCCCGGGGAGGAATCTTTGTCCTTCCCTGCGCCTTCCCCGGTCCACTCCTTGGCCCCGAGCACCTTGCTGCGGGTCCCTGCCTGGGCTTCATAAACAATAACAAATGTCGCGAATTCTCTCCTAATAGCCCCAGCTCTCCTGTCCCGTGTCCTCCAGCCGGTATCACGGAGAGGAAGGGTTCTAGGCATGGCTTTTCAATTGTGGGGGCTGTTTGTGTACCATTCCTAAAAACTGATGCGTCAGATTGCTAAACATTTCTCAGAGAGACACAGTAAAGCCTCCCGTCTCCCAGAAGCCACGGAGTCTAAAGCGTTCAGTCTCAAAATCTGTCCCTGTCATTGAACCGGTGGACCCTTCCTTGCAACATCAATTTCTCCCACTCCTCTTTCCACTTTTAATGTCGGGGACCGACGAGTGGTTGTTTGGTATGGGAGCAGGAAAGATCATACCCGATTGGGTAGGGTACATTTCACCTTTAAAAAGTTGCCAAATTCACAGCAAAAGAACAAACTTTATTTTCAAAACCAGTGGGCTCCCATTTACTGGTGCTACTTTTGTTCGGTGAAATCGCTTCTGGAGTTCTAAGTTTGGAGGAATGATATAAAAAGAAATGGAAGGCGGGGGGTGGTGATGAGGGCCAGTGGTGCTGGAAGTGGTAGCTTGTCCAGAAGTGTGATGCTGTTGTTCCTTACTTGGTAAAATGCAGAACCGACACTCTTGACTATTTCATGTAACTTGTAGTAAGTTTGATAGAAGCCACTAACTCGGAAATAGCCTGAGTATTAGCTTTATTACTATTAAAATTGAAATGAATGAGTTTAAGTGTTTTAAGTTATGCCTTTTAGTTTTAAGAGGGGAATTGTAAGGCGAGAGAGACCTTGTCTTTTTTTTTTTTTTTTTTTTTGGAGAAGGGTGCAGGGTCTTAAATTTGACAGATCTCTCTACTTTAAGGTAGGGTCTATTGTTCTTAAGTCCAGTTTTGCTTACCTAATGCAGATTTTTGGAAGTTCTTTGTCTCAGTCCTGTGTATGTATTTAGGATACTGGAACCTCTTTAAATTTGACTGGCCTTTCTTTTCATGCCTCAGGATATGTAAAACAATTAAGTTTATTATACTCTCTCCCCAGTGGCTCAAGAGTATTGTGTGAACTAACCACTCTTGTGACTATTTGAGGGGAGAGAAATTAGTCCAAAATAAGATGTTAAATTATGATATTTACATAACTTTGTTGCATATATTTCATCAGAGAAAATCTTGATCTCAAAAAAGTTACAATGAATTAAAAATTGGGGGGGGAGGGGGGCCAGGCGTGATGGTTCATGCCTGTAATCTTAGCACTCTGGGAGGCCAAAGCAGGTGGATTGCCTGAGCTCACAGGTCTGAGACCAGCCTGAGCAAGAGCAAGACCTTGTCTCAAAAATAGCTGGGCGTTGTGGTGGGCGCCTGTAGTCCCAGCTACTCAGGAGGCTGAGCAAACAGAAACACCTGAGCCCAAGAATTCGAGGTTGCTGTGAGCTGTGATGCCACAGCACTCTACCCAGGGTGACAAAGTGAGACTCGGACTCAAATAAATAAATACATAAATAAAACAAATAAATAATTTTGGGGGGGTTGACTCCACTTGGCTTTGTTTTCTCTACTTGTTGGGATGGCTGGTAACGTTTCCCATTTGTTTGGGATGTGTTTAGAATGAGAAGCAAAGTTGAGTGTAGTTTTTGTACTTTTTTGGAACTCCCTGCTCCTGGGAATGGAAAAATTAGGCTTAGAAAAATCACATTAAATAGGCGCAGTTCTTCGCTAGCCTTTTGATTTTGAGTTTGTCTTAAAATAAGTCAGAGAATAGAGACTAAGATTATTTGTGCAAACAAACAGGTGTCCTTGGTAGTTTTTATGTAGGAAATTCAATTGCTAAAGGTAGGATGCTGTAAGAATGAAGGGAAAAGTGTACTTTTTAGAAAATAGCAAAGTAAATGGACTTAGTCCAGCCATTTGTTTTCAGAAAAGTTCTCCTTTTTCAAAGTCAGGGCTGCATCATGTTAGTGAAGTTGGATAACATGCTTTAGAAAGTGCTTTCTTTATAATCCCAGATAAGTTGGAGGCTTCCCCGCCACCCTCTATACCCTCCTTACTCCCCATGGCACTTTTTTTAAGAGGGAAAAAAAGGGCTCAAATCAAGCCAGAAAGATTTGCATCTCAATATAATATAGAAATGATTTTGTTTTGCATAAATAGTGTAGGGTGAATCAAGCAAGCATATTGTCATCTAGCATTGCTGGGGTTGCATTAAAATCAGCAGATGGGCAAGTTATGATTAGGTTAGACTTGACATATGTGGAAATTATGATACTATACTTTTATATTAAAAGTACCATGGTCGTTTTGAATGAAATAATGAACGCAAGCTTTTAAGACATTTAAAATTAAGAAGATATCTTTGGTCAGTAGCTAAAAAAAATTAAGTTCATCTAACCCCCTCCTATATTTGTTTAAATTTTAATATATTATTTACCAAGATATAACCAGTACTTAGGTGCATCGGTTACGTAAGTCTTCTGTCTCCAGGTAAAGTTTGCCAGTTTACAGGGTATTGTTGTTTAGACTCTTAAGAGGGAGGGAATTGAAAGGCAACAATGGACAGTGTTTGCTGCTCTGTACACTCAGATGAACTGTAGGCCTCTGTCCTCAAGGAGATGGAATCTAATGGGAGGGAAATGTACTTGCCCAAGTAAATATCATACAAGATGCTTTTTATGAGAACACCAAGGAAGATCAAATCCTACTGGACCGATTAAGGAAGACTGAGTTGGAAAAGGCATTTGTGTAGATGATTTGGGTCCTCTAGTCATATGATGATGATAATAAGCAAATACTTTATGTAATGCTGCCTGCTTGCTGTTAAACCCTTCATGTGTACTACTTATTTACCTGGGTTTAGTTTTCATAACAGCTCCACAAAGTAGGTATTTTTATTATTCTAGCTTTGTAAGCTTTAGGTACCAAGGTTAGAATAGCCAGTAGGTGGTTGAAACAGGATTTCAGTGTGGACTCCTGGCTTGTAGCTGTTTTGCTGTTCTTAACCAATGTCCATATTTTCTCTCCCATTCATGATTATTTTTCTCAGGTCTATGGTTTCGAAGAATTGATTTGGGAAAATACATTCCTGTGGCATCTAAATTTTGGATCAGTTTTTTTTTTTTTTTTTTTGAGACAGTCTTAGTATGTTGCCCTCGGTAGAGTGCCGTGACATCACAGCTCACAGCAACCTCAAACTCTTGGGCTTAAGCGATTCTCTTGCCTCAGCCTCCCAAGTAGCTGGGACTACCAGCACCCACCACAACGCCTGGCTGTTTTTTGTTGCAGTAGTCATTGTTTTAGCTGCCTGGGCTGGGTTCAAACCCACCAGCCTTGGTGTATGTGGCTGGCGCTGTAACCACTGTGCTACAGGTGCTGAGCCTTGGGATCAGTTTTCTGGAAAGAGCTCCAAAATAATGAAAACCCAGGTGAATAAGTTATGGTATGTTAGATATTTTAACTTATTTTTGGAAGTTGTTCTTGGTATAAATTAAATATAACCATTGAGTAGGACTTCTGATAATTTTGCTTTATTACCTATATGTGCCCATAAGGATTTGGAAGTGAGCACTTACATCTATATTAACTTCTTTACCTAATGGAATGTTTGAATCATTGTGTATTTTGTCCTGTAATTTTAATTTTCTTTTTCAAAGACAGTGTCTTGCTATGTTGCCTAGGCTGGACTTGAACTCCTGGGTTCCATCAGTCCTCTCACCTTACCCTTCTGAGTACCTGGGACTACAAGCATGTGCCAGTGTGCTTGGCTTTGTCCTGTAATTTTTTAAAACAGTTGGCCCTGGGTATTTTTTGGATTGAATTATGAAGTGGGAATTTAGTTATGATTGAATGTCCCAGCCCTTTTAGTTTTTATTTCCACAAACAGCTATGCTTATCATGGCAGAAACAGGGTCTTGAATAGAGTGTTGTACACGTATAAAGTGAGAGTTCTATCACTGGTACTTAATGTTAGAGCCACTCTGAAAGTTCCTTGGGATTGTGAAATAAAAGATGCTATAGAAATTAAATGTGGCTGGTTTAGGCCTACTTAGTACTATAAGTACTTGTTGAGAGAACAGGCCAACTGATTTTATTTATGAGGTTGCAAGTATAGTCCACGTTTGTTATTGGTCATCTGAGAATTAGAACCATAATAAATACAATTTGACTTAAGAGTTAGAAAAAAGTACAGTAGAATCTCTGTAAGTTGACCACCCAAGTGGCTGTAACAAATTGGTCAGTAGACAGAGGTAGTGAAGATAAGGAACTAGGCTTACTGTACTGATACATACATGTGGTGCATGTCTGGTCCATGAAAATTATGTCAACTTAAGGAGGTGGGCAGCTGTGGAGGTGAGCAGAGGGATACTACTTGTCCTTTCCTAGCCCTCTAGTAAGATCCAGACTCTTCAGCTCTTTTGTCAGTGCCTCTGATGAACCCATACTTCAAGTAGAGCTCCAGAGTCGTAGTCTCTGTGAACAAATATAATAAGTCTTCTCTCCTTGACTGAGTGGGATAGGTTCTAAAAAGCCCCTGTAGTAAGATAATTTATGGTTGATGAGCTTAAAGCCTAATGAGAAAAGCAGCAGAACTAAAGCCAGAAGTTAAAGTACATATTTATATTATTAAAAGAAGACAAAGAGGCTTGGCGCCTGTAACTTAGCAGCTAGGGCCCCAGCCACATACACTGGAGCTGGCAGG